ATATACCATCAAAATCTAGTCGATCTTGCAAACAATACACAAGAGTCAAATGATATCAATGTATTACAGTTCTATTCACAGATATCCAATCGAGCACGTTTACCATTACCACCTCTATATTAGAATGTCTTCATATAAGACATGAATACTTGCATCGTTGTATGTATCAATATGACAATCAAAATAAATTGTTTCTCTTGTAATTTATTTAAATATTGCAGTTGTTGGTTTTGAAAATAAAATAAAAGTTGTTATTTCTTTGATTCTTACCCTTTTTTAAAATTGTCTACTGAACTAAAAATTAGATTTTTTGTCTCGTATGCAGACTGTCAGTGCGCAAAATTCGCCGTGCGCGTCTTTCGATATCCTGTTGGTTCAACGTGAATGTCGTAGTTTTTGATTAGCATGTAAACTCAACAAGAATACAATAAATCTATAGCTTTCATATTGTGAACAAAAATTAAGTCAATTAGCAGAGAGTGTTTGTAACTCGAAGTGCGAAAAGTTACGTTGATTGCATTTTTTATTGTGTTTTCAGGAGTCGAATAATTTTTCATTATCGCAAGGCCAATAGATTGAGTCCGAATAAAATATAAAATGATGTGTTGAGGGTAAGAGTGCAGGTCGCTTCTGAACCTTCATTCTTACACTAATAGCATCGTCTGCATGTAGAAAATGTTTTCATACACATCAAACTCATAATTAAAAATAGACTCTGAAAATCATCATCTTAATCAACGTCTGAGATAATGCCTCCTATGCACTATTTGATGGCTGTTTTGTCTAGAAACAAATGTTTGAACATCATCTAGGCTAACAAATTCATATTTCTTTTGTTCGTAATATCATGATAAGGTGTAAGTAAGAATGTGTGAGTCTTGCCTTGGGTAACAATTACAACCAAAGCATATTAATAGTCACCTCTCTTGCTAAAATATTCAAATACTTGGACATTTTAGAAGCTATGAGAGCTTCTATTGCAACGAAGGAGTCATTCTCTGATAATTCATTTGACAGCTATATTATTTTTATAGTTTATAGCACGAGAACAAGATTTAAAAGTACACATATATAACAACTAAACCACTCTGACTTTCACATTTTAACGTATATAAGTAATCATTACATTAAATATCATTTTATTGACAAGTTTCATACACCAATATTAATCAATACATCGGCTTAAATCTCCTATTATATGAACTCTAAATTTTTTTACGACTAAAAATTTATCTGATACTCTTAGAATCACATCAATACTAATACAATTTTAGTGACTAATAATTCTCTCCTTTGCGCTAAAAACTAATTGAATTAACATACACAAAACACTTTTGACAAAAGAAAATTTACACTAGACATCTAAAAAAATCGACATAAATTTAATGGCAAAAAAGAAACAAATCTATTAAATTATCATCAACTAGTTAAAACATCAGCAATCTAGTTTGATATTTTCTATTCAATTCCTATCTTATCTATATCTTTCATTGTAACTATATAATTTATGTATGATGCCTTACTCAAAACATGATTCGATTCTTTTCCCTCTCTAGTTTCTGATAATTAACTCACAATTGGTAAAGCACCCTTTCGATAATCCACAACAGTATGTGAACGATCAAGAAGATTCATTCAACTAAATAAATGATGAGGAATATTATCTTGTTCTGCAATTGTTGGTTTAGCTGTTGTGATATCTAAACTTTCATATATTTGCATTGAATCAGCATTAATTATTTCTCCCTTAAAACGTTTAGATAAATAAACTGATGATTGCGTTTTTTCAACAGCTGTTGCACCTAAAGTTGCTATTATCGAAAAAGTTGTACAGCAAACATTGGTCACTGTAGCGATTTACAGAAACAAATACAATTAATATTTTATTCTTCTTGTATATATTTAACATGGTTGTTACATGCGAATTTTAAAAAGCACTAGGTTTTCGTCATAAACCAGAATTCGATCAGGAGATTTTTTCCATAAAATTCGGTTGAAAGCTTTTTTCAAATTTAGCTAAGACGACAAAGTCTAAGACAGTTCTCTCTTCGAAAATCAAAATGATCACTATTACGAACTATTGTGACTTGTCGTTATCAGACGAGTGATGAACATGATTATCTTAGACGTGATACAAAGAAAAGAGAGAGGCGATCCAGTGTATATGTAAAAATATGGAATAAATCAACGTCTGTAAATCTATCTCTTTGGATTGAAATACAGTAAAAGATTTATGGTTTCTATTACCAAAAAAGATTTAAAAAAGACTGGTTTGAAGTACGTTGAAAACCACAGAACTGAGCGATTCCATGGGTTTTTTGACATATTTCTTAGTTTGAACTCAGACAGACTTTTGCTAGGAAAATGCTGATTTCTAGATCGGTGACATCGGAAGACACCCCAAACACAAACAGAATGGAGTGAACACAACTGATGTTATATTATCTAGTCTTCTATCTACTATACTAGAAAATCATCGAAGAGCGCTCAATATTTATTCTTTCGGAAATTTTCCGTTGGTACTTATTGCATTCAAAATTATCAGTTTACCGTGTGTTTTCAGTTTTCTTTGAAGATTATTAAATATCTCTGTAATCGAATGTATTTTATTATACTGATATTCTCATATTTGTTCGTTTACTAGTGAAAAGAAAGTAGGCAGAAGTATTTTAAAAGAATATGACTAAAACCAAGAAAACAACTAATCGAAAATGGAAGTTAAGCTATCGAGGACTTCATTCCTATGATATCGGTAGCATGACTATACTTTTGTGGCAAAAAAAGTCGCTTTGACAATTCTTGATCACATAGGAAGCACTTACGAAACAGAGACCGTGTCGAACTGAGTTTTACAGGTTCGGTTCGATTTTGGTTCCTGATAGGCGTAGCATTTTTCTGTAAGTTTATTTTGAACTAAAACTGTTGCTAATATAAATATAAATTAAATTAAATTAAATTTTTTTCTATTACCAAAATTTTAATTTAAAATAAATTTAAATAGCTATGTGGAATAATTTTAAAATTATTTTAGATTTTAATTTTTGAGAATTAGTGTCTGAAAATAGTAAATTTTTGTGAATTATAATTCAACAACCCAATCGTCAAAATATATGACCGCAAGAAAAATAGATCAGAAATAAGAAGAGACATTGCGGTTATACGTTAACATCCTCTCATGACTATAGAAGATTTCGTAAGAAAAGGGCCGCGCTTCGTTCCTGTCATTTTCTAATGATAATAAAAAACTTGTATAGATACTTTTGCTAGTAGATCTGAGAGATAAGAGATTTCTTTTGATTTCTATACACAACTAGTCAAAGTGAAACTTAAATTAGTTAAAATAGAGCTTAAAATACTTCAAAGATATTTAAATGTAGTTTAAATTATTTTGAGTTAATTGAGTTTTTTCAATTTTGTATAAATTCAATTGCAATTTAAAATAAAATGAAATCTTTTCCAATTTATTTCTTGATTAAATAAATTTTTGTAAATGTAAATTGATCGTCCACAATCTCCAATGTAAAATGTTCTGTCACAGATCGTTTGGTAATCCCATACACCATCACAATTTTACAAAAAAGAATATAGCTCAGTTAAGCATTTTTCTTATGTACTTGTTCATATTTATTCGTTTTTCAAAAAAAAATAGTTAGAATCGATTCAGTTTAACGTCGCTTTGTAAGAACTGGTTCGAGTTCAGTTCCGGTTCGATTTTGGCCTCTGTTGTGAAATTCTATATAATTCGAATAACCCATTATTTAAATTTCCTTTCAGCACAATAAGACGTTTTCTGATTTAACTTCATTTGTCATATTATAAAGACTTCGTATGATTGAAACATCATTTGAAACAAAAATTCGAAAAAGGCACAGAAAATATATCGGAACTCAATTTTATATTTGAAATGCATTTTGACAATCAAAAACATGAGCTAAAAAATTGTTATCTTTAATCATAACAATTATCTTTTTTTTGTTTGTTTTGTTTTGGTGATTTATTTTGTCACTAAGATTGAATCTGTCACAACTGACAATTCGGAGAAAATTCTTAATATCAGCTTGTGAAATCAGAAAATTCTTTTATCCGAAGTAAAAAAACAAGAAGAGTCTTGTTGTCAAATTAGGAGCTTGGTAGACCTGCTGATAACAGCAAGCATATCATATTCCTTGTATATTATTATCTCGTATCTTTTACGTTGACCGTTTTCCAGATATGTTTCACGAATGTTTGAAGAGAAAATTGGAACAAAAAATGCCAACAATTTCTGAATTTTAATTCTAAATAGAATATCAATTTGTATAAATAGAAGAATGATATTGAATGGTTTTTGATACACATTTCTGAGTCTTATTATTAGCAGATTAGAACTCACAGTATCATTATTTACAATTTTTTCTTTCAATATTCTCAAAAATATAACATATATGTTATGTACCTCAATTAAACTTCTAAAACTCATATACGATTTGTTCTAATTGATACAACAAAATAAAAAACAGGTTCTTTCATTGTTCATTTAAAGAACTTGCACCCAAAGTATCAGAGGAACTATGTATACCGTCTTCTTTCCATTTAAGTAGACTCCATAAACGATAGCCCATTTGTGTATTAGTTATATGTGTTGAATCTGGTAATGGTGGCTTAAGATACTGCGACTGTCGGCGAGAATGATTATGATAGCGATTATTGAAACCTGTAGAAAATTTACATCTATGCTTTATCTGACAATAATTATTATAACTTTTGTTAAAACACATGCGGCTTGTTTTAAAAGCATATAGAAAAATTAAAATAAGATGAACACATTAGATTATTTCGTCATCATCGCCAACATCTGATCGGTCATGAGCTGTTGAATGAGAACCAAAACCCATGTTAAATGGTAGCATGCAAAATAATGAACGTAGAGCTGAACTAGCATATGAACCTGATGAATTTCTATCATCACTTATAACAGATGCATCATCACTTCCGTTTCCTTTTTCCATTGCATCAGTGCGTTGTTTGACAAATAGAGCTGCTTCTTGATCAACTTTTGCACGATTTCGAATTAACTAAAACAAGCACAGTAAATATTAACGAAATCAATACAAAAACAATAAAATCTTACTTCATATACTCTTGGTTGAGCATTTTTATTTTGTCTTCTCAAACGTACTTCTGATACAGGAACATCACGTATTGATGCACGACTTTTTAATGATTCAATACTAATTAATGGTACAAAACATTCACCAATAAAATCGTCCTCTTTTACCATATCTTCATCCCAAACACTAAGACGTAAAACAGCACCCGCTGTATGTACAATATTCAGTGGAAGACGATACCTTTAGAGAAAAAAAAACAAAGAGAAAAAATTTCATTGCCAATGAAAAATTATTCAGCTAAAAAAGCAACTCTACCATTGAAATAACTGATTAAATTCTGGATTAAGTGTTCGTTTTATTGTACTTGTTTTCTCTTCCTTTGGTCGTTTCGGATAAAGTGTCGATGGTAATAGTTCAAGGATAACATATGGATCAGATGCACCAAAATAATCCATTTTCGGTAGATCTCGACAAGAAAGAACTGTATATAGGAAACATATAGGTGTATATTAATTAATTTTAAAAATGAAACAAATCAACATACTTTGAACATAAATAGATATAAGATCATTGACAATTTCATATGCAGTACGAAAAACAATTACACCATTATTTGTTGAACATTCATACTGCAAAAAAAATGAATAAATAAATAAAATTTCGAAAAAATTTTCCGAGAATATTTACAGGAGGATTTGTTTGAGTTATTTCTTGAAAATAAAGTAGTTGTAATTGTTCAGTTGACAATGCAAATTGCTGAAGTGTGCGTCGAAATGTTGTAATTTCTTCACATGGTGGGCTAGGTATATGTTGTTCTTCACGACATACAGTTTCAAAATATGCAGCCAAATGATCAAATGATTGTAAAACACGCTCATAAAAGTCTGGCGGTTCTTGTAATGGCAATAATTCTCTTAAACATTGTAATGCTTTTATACGTATAGCACAAGCAACACGAGAATATTGAACTTTTTCGAGACCTCCATACAATTTAAGAAGAATCTCTTGATCAATATATTGATTTATATCGTTCATAGGCTAAAAATTATATTCGAAAAAAATAAATATATATTGATTTATTTGTTCATGTATTTGTTTTCTTACATCAACTTTTTTACGTTTTTCATCTTCATAGTATTTGGAAATTTTATCTTTCAAAGATACATAAAACAATGTCGCAACACGTTCAAATATAAGTTTAATGACATCATTCATTTCATTTTCAGCTGTTGCTATTAAACGTTCAAGTGTTACTTTTGTTTGTTGAAAATCCGTTGATTCATAGTATTCAATCATTTTATCAATAACAGACGAGAAATGCAATAAATCTGGTAATGATGAAAGAAGTTTTTGTTTAACAAATTCAATATCATTAACTAATATACATAACTAAAATGAATAAGAAAAAAAATAAAAACCAAAGACAAAAAAATAACAATCTTTTTCGACGAACTTTTTTCGAAACATTAAATGATCGTGTACGATGTAAATCGGTAAAATATTTATTTTCTGATAATTTATGTGCTGTACGTCTTGCATAATGCTGACATTGTTCACATATTGTATTTGTTAATTTAATTAGTGCTGTATAACGTACACTTGTCTCAGGATAATCAACTGATTCCCATTCTTGACAAATCTAAATTAATTCAACTGATATAAATATAAGACGACATATGAAAAATATACCTTTATACATAAATTTGTAGCTGCCTTAGATGATTCAGAATACCGGATATAATCGTCATCATTAAAAACCTTTAAATAAAGTCATAATTTGTTTCTCTTTTCATATAGACTGAATGTAACTTTGTCTGACCTCATTATCATCTTCTACTGCTCTTTCCATTGCTTGTCTGATCTGTGCAACAAAACCTTCTAATAAATATTTCATTGTTGGTGAAAACCAATTACGATAATCTATTAATTTAAATTTAAATGCATTTGTTTGCCAATCTCTATTTCAACAGAACAAAAACAAAAACACTTAGATCAATAACTGAAAAACAACACAAAGCTACCGTGCTTCAAGAGTATCTCGAAGTGCTGTAACAATTCTTTTTAAATATAAATATAATGCAAAAAGTACAGTTGAACTTTGAATTAAATTTGGATCATATATTGATGATGTTGCTTTCACCATTGGTTTTGCATATTTTTGAAAATAGTCTGTCATATTTTTTAACAAACATCTTGTTAAATCCGTTAACTAATAAATATAAAATAGATTTAATCTATGGACAATATTATAGAATATCTTACACGATCACCTGCACTGTTCGGTTCAAAAAAACATGCTTTTACATAATTAACATTGAAGGATGCGAAAAGTTTCTGATATTCTTTTATAGATGACATTGATTCAGCTAATTTTTGAACGTATTCAATAAATTCTCGAACAGCATTTAATTGTATATCGTTCCTATCCTGAAATACAAATGGATGAACACTAAACGAATCATTTATATCCGTTTGTAAACGAATTTTGATTGTTTCTTCAAGTATTTTGGTGGTTGTTGATTCATTTGAACAAATTTTTAGTTGAAATAAAGTACAAATTGTGCTAAAAACATTTCATCATTGAAAGAGTTAATATGTTCGATCCATTCACAAATCATCTATTTCATTAATTATTAGAAAAAGATTCATGTTATAGAAGAACAAGATCTATATTCTCTTTAAGATTAAAATAATTCAAATATAATTATTGTCCTACGGAAAAATAGTTTTGCTAAAACTTCTTATTATCAACAAATATAACAGATGTTATCTTTTCGAAATATAATTTGATATACAAAAAGAAAACATTTGTTAGATTTAAACATACTTTGTTTTAGAATATTCTATTGGCTAACAAGCGACATACATCAGAAGTTACTTTTTGTAAAACCGAAGAAACGCGCTCTGTATTTGAAACAAACTGTATAAACCGATTTGTTTCATTCTCCTTTTCATTAAAATAATCGATTTGATCATATTTCATTGAAATCAAAAATAAGCATACTCGAATATACTTTGAATACTTGATAAATTTTCTCTCGATGGTAAAAACCATAGTGCATCATCACGTACTCGTTTTTTATAATGACCAATGAATAAAGAAAAAATTTCTTTAAATGCTGTTTTCTAAAATGAAGCATACGAGTTTTTGTTTTTAAGCAATAACAACAACACAATTATATCAATTTTACTTCATAATCAGTAAAATCCAGATCATCAATATCAGTTCTTTGTCGTACTTGTTCTATAAGTATTTTCAAGTGAGCTTCAATAACACCTTGACTTATAAACAATGCATAATCTTCTGAACATCGAAGTTCCATAATAACAAGTAAATGTCTATTGATTTACAAAGATAACATCATTAAGTTGACTCGTTTATTATTCAATACTTACATAAATGCTTCTGATAGAACTGAAATATTGTATAAAACACGAAACTTTGTGAGAACGCTATAAGATAGATCATTTAATGATCCATTCCAATTAATAATTAAATCCTTGGATTCATTGTTTTTATTCTAGAAAAGATTAAGTTTTTCTTATTGTTAATTTTATAATTTACAAAATATCTTACTGCTTCTCTTGCATCTTCTAATTCATGTAACATAACAATACGAGTTAGTTGATGATATTCTTCAACCAATAATGGTAAATCTGAATTAATAGCTGGTGTCAAACATGAATCATCTCGACTTAACTCTCCTTCAAGACTGTCTTCAATGACTAAAACAAGACAAAAAAACATATTCCATATAAACAATTTTATGAAACATGATTTGAAAGAAGCGTTGCAGTATAGAAATAAAATTTGTGGTGGAGCCAAGAGACAGCAGGAGGACAGTCAGCCTCTTCCGAAAAAAAATTGAGCTTTCTCGAGAAATAAGATAATCTTGCATCATATGTGAAGAAAACATCTTCTCTCCAGTATCAAACAGTAGCTGAATATTTCTACAAAATTTTTCGAGGCTTCACCACTAAGTGGAAGTTTGGATGCTTCTCCTTCTATAGACGCCATAGGGATACACGAACTGCCTCCCCTTCACACATTGCATAAAGTATGAGCAATATATGATCACTGGCGGTATATCAAAGAAGTCTTGTTATGACAAATTTACTGCTGCCTTATTGCTCTTCTTGAAGAATAAGAAAAAGGATGGTAAAGAAATGTATCTCAAAAGACATAGAATAAACACATCCTCCTTGTAATTAGTGACAGTAAAAACGTCATGTTTCATATTTTTATCCCACAGGGATCGAACTTACAATTTTCATTCATAAAACAGGAGCAAAATTCTTTATTAGCAACCCGTATTCGCAAAGTTGAAACATGCATATCTCAGAATAATGAGCTTTCCTCTAGCTAATGTTTGCATGTTATATGTATGTTAAGTTACTCTAGATACACTGAAACAAATCAGCGCTAGACATTTATTTCAAAGTAGTTATTAGTCAAAAAACTACGGTTAGCGACGTGACAGAAAGAAGGATATCGACTTTCACCTCACATATTAGATGATCTCTATCGTAAGTATTGTCTCAGCATGCCTAGGACTTCAAAAAGATTGATTCACTTTTCATGAGCAACCTGAAGAAATATGAATGTAGAAACCAAAAAAGTGTTCTAATAACCAAATGACCAGTTCATAACTCATTCCAAATGGTACAGTTCTTTTTCAGAATCTCTAGATCATGCTAACACAAATCCTTTTTGTTTAGAGATTTGATACGATCTGTAGAAAACTGATTTTTAAGAGGAAGGTTTTTCTGAACTCGATCTGGCTTAAAACTTCACTATAGATGCAATTCATATCATAGTGTCTGTACTCAATATTTGACATTGTTTTTAATATTGTTAGGAAGATACTTGCAAATTACTTTCTACTTAATAGTCACCTGAAAGAGTCAATGTTTTTGCATATGTCTATGCAAAAAGAACTTGTACAGAAAAATAACTCTTGTAAAGATTCAAAGTAAAATGAAGGGCTACTATATATTGTTTTGCTCAACGTGAACAATATTCATATATATACTTACCGGGGGGTTTTGCATAATCACGAGGTTGCATTGATAATGGACGAAAATTTTGTCGAAAAATGCTTGGACGTAATATAATTGAGGAATTCCTTTGACTGGGACATGATAATGATGAATGACGACGACGAAATTCTAACACACTACCATTTGATCCATGTTGATGACTTTTTCTATTTTTATCATCCTTGAAATAAAAACAGGTAAGATAAATAAAATTTCTTTCAAAAATAAAACACAAAAGAACACATTTAGATTATCGTTTGTTCACCTAAAAATCATGCAAAAGCATTTATAGCATATGATGATAACCTTTGAAATAGGACAAGAATGAGGATATAAGGATGCATTAAGTCGATTGATTTGATCAAGCTGAAGATCATCTTTATTGGGAAAAGACTTTAGATCAATCATTTTTCTACTCACCAATTTAAAATGAACTTTTAGTCCAAGTAGAATGTCACCTCTTGGTTTATTGTTATTCGAACGGTTTTGGTTCAATCCAGTTAGAGAAAACCATCGTTCACGATCAAATGTAGCTAATGACTATAAATGAGAAAGTGTCTTTAATTGAAAAAAATATAATGGTAGCGTCCGTGATGATATACTCCTGCGCTAAACGAAGACTAAGATGTTGCTTCTTTTCTAATTGACTTAGAATATCTGCCCGGATAGCAGAAAGTGTATGGTTCGAGTTCTATCAAGGGTTTCTTTTTCTTCATTCTATCACTTAACATCGAAGACACTGCTTAGCCCATAGGCTGTGCATATATTAGGGCTTACATGAAAAAGAAATAAAATTTGAATTACTTTAATATCAAGACTAACTTGACCAAGGAAATCATCTTCGATTTCACCTGTTCTTATGAGACTTCGAATTGCAAGAAGTGTACTAAATAATCAAATTGAATTGAAATATATTTCAAACGAAAAACAAGATTTACCGTGCAACACCTCGTTTTTGTTGAACAACTGTTTTAAAACCAGGCGCTTGACCACGATCTGAATCGAACACTCTGATAAGTAAATGTTGTTCTTGTAGATTTTCTATCTCACTAAATATATTAAAAATATACAAATACTATTCTAGAGATGATCAGTAATGAAAAGCAAAAAAAAACAATCAGATTAGACAAAATAAAATAAAATTATAAAGCAATATAAACAACATACAATTCAAAATGTTCATTCCATTCTGGATTAATCGTTTGTGGTCGAACTTGTGTACGATAAATAACACTTTTCAATGTTTTACTCTTATTAGATAATGGTACTGATGCATGATCTGTTGAATGTCTTCGACTATTAATTTTACTACTTCGTTGGCTACTTTTCGTCTTTACTGATTTTAATTTCTTTTTTGAAGCTAAGAATAGTACAAAAATATGAATATTATTTTCGATGAAAAGCTTTTGCAACTCAAAATACATGATGCGCTAGCACAGGAAAATAATGATGGGCTTCTTCTTGGACGATTAGGTGATGGTGAAGCTGATATAGATGATGACGATGATGTTAATTCATTTGAATCATCTTGTTTGCCGGGTATATGTATAACACCCACTTTACAATAAGGATCACTAAGACCTTTTCAAAGAAGAAGTAAAAATAATGAAAAATATTTAAAATAGAAACAAACCATTCTGATCTTCACCAGGTAAATTACGTGCTTTTTTAACATTAACAGATAGAACGACAGAGCATGGCTAAATATTACATAGAAGAAAAATTATTTGTTGTCGCAAAACAAATGAAAAACAGAGAAACTACTCTTACTTGTAACTTGAGAGCTCGCATATATTTTTGTTCTTGTTCTTCTGGATCAACATTGAAAAGCTATTAAAGCATAGACGAAAATCTTTAGTTTTATTTAATCTTTTTTTTAAATTTACTCCAGCAACATGTGCAGCAAGTTGTTCATTTGTTGCTCCTTGCTCAATCACATGCAATGGAGCGCAAACAGCATGCAATGTATATTCATAGAGACGTCTCTGAAATAAAAATCAATAATACTAAAATGAAATTATCCAAATATTAGAAGAGAGCGAAAGAAAGCATGTTAAAGATATTAGTTGCATTAATATTTGGTTTGACTTATGTTTATTTCTGTCACTCTCTTACTTCGACAAGATTGCTTCTCTTGCTCACCATACGAAGTAATTTTTTTCACAAAAAAAAACAATATATATATATGTATTCTTTCTAGAAACAAAAACAAACAGTAAACAATAACAAATATCAATCAATTAGTGTTTTTTAAAGGTTCTATCGTTTCATCTATGTCAAATTCATCACTCTCTTTTTCTATTTCTGAAATTTTTTTCGTTTGTAATAAATCAAGTGTGTTTAGTAATGATGGTATAGCATTATTCAATTTTTGACGATATGCAGCTCGATCTGTTGCACGAACTATTCGTTTATGTTGTTTGCTTTTTAAATGATCTATATGAAAAAGAGAAAATATGCAAAAAAATGTACAACAACAATGACATGAAGCATTTACCTAGCCATTGTGATTTCATATGAAATACACGTTGACATGGTAAACATGTATTTTGTTCATAAACAGGTTCATCTACTGGTGTTTTTGGAAGAGCATCAAATGGAATTTGTTCATTCTAACAAATATACATCATTTTAAATATGTGAATATAACTATTTACTTTTAGAAAAGCATCAATAATAGCTTCAGCTCGTTGTTCAACATTTTCATGCCATAATGACAAATTAGTTGTATCAAGTTCATAAACATTGGGAGAATGTTCTTCGACACCTAAAATCAAATTTAATAAAGTTTTGTACGTCAAAATCTAATTCAAATTACGTTGAAGAAGACGCATTCGAAGCCATTTTTCTTGATATTTTGAGTATTGTCTTGTAGAAAGTTTAAGACGTTCAATAGCTAATAATAAAAATTCGTGTATATATATATATGTCGTATCGAAGTTACACCGGCCGTCGAAGTTGCAACTTCGACAGAAAACATTGACGAAGTTAATTCAGACCAACTAAATATCAAATAATTATCAATTAATTGATGATATTATGATCAAGATATACAACTATAACTAATTTTTCATTTTAAAAACATACATATCACTTTTTTTTTGAATCGACATAAAATAAAAAAATAATTCTAAAAAGTGAAATATTACATATTGTTAATGCTTTACATGATTGGAGGCCTATTTTAAATGAGACAAAGTTCTGTAGCTAATCGAATAGGTCTCTACAATACTACATCCTGATTTAAACAACACACGCATATCATTAGAGTGACCACCACGATTTGGTTCAGTTCGATGTCCTTTGAGATTTTTTGTGAATCTAGGTGTTCATTTTAACATTAAATGACAAGACTGGTCATGAATATTAGGCAAATCCCTAGCAGAGGGTGAGAATGAACCCAAGACCAAAATGAAAACCAGTTGGAAATGTGGAATAGACCGCTAGATTCATGAATTTTCTCTAGTACAATCAAAATGTATTAGTTATTAAAGGGTATAAAACTTATTTTTGTTATTGATAATAAGTTGAAGTGTTGTTTAAATCAGGATGTAGTATTGTAGAGACCTATTCGATTAGCTACAGAACTTTGTCTCATTTAAAATAGGCCTCCAATCATGTAAAGCATTAAAAATATGTAATATTTCACTTTTTAGAATTATTTTTTTATTTTATGTCGATTCAGAAAAAAGTGATATGTATGTTTTTAAAATGAAAAATTAGTTATAGTTGTATATCTTGATCATAATATCATCAATTAATTGATAATTATTTGATATTTAGTTGGTCTGAATTACCTTCGTCAATATTTTCTGTCGAAGTTGCAACTTCGACGGCCGGTGTAACTTCGATACGATATATATATATATATATGGTATCTTTCATATTTATTTGGTCAAGATTTATTTTCAATGTTTCTTCGACTGCCATCAACGCTAATTAAAATCCAAAATATTGCTTTCTCTAGAGATATTTAATATCTGACAAGAATTTTCGAATATGGAAATGGGTGCTAGTTATCCAAGGATAGAGACTTTTAAAAGCGCAAATGTAAGTTTTCCATCTACTTGAAGTCTGCTTAAGTTATCCAGAGCTTTAGAAGAAACAATGCTCTACAAATTGCAATATCTTTCAGATATCTACAATATTTTTCAATCGACATGTATCACTCTCTTGGAAGGTACAAAAGTCTTTCCGTTCTAATATTTCTTAGAAAAACATCATTTTTTTTATTATTTCAAGTAATTTAACTAGAATTTTGGTACATGAAAGACTTGGATTTGGGTTTTTCAGAGACTGTGCTCTTGAAAGACAAACAATCATTTTCATCATCTGAAATTTTTGTTGAAAAGAAAATTTTCTACTCAAACTCACTGTTTAAGTCTCTATTAGCATTGATGACAGTGGAAAAATAGTTTGAAATAAATTGGTTAGAATAATTTTGAGAGCTTCTCGAAGATGGCGAAATGTAGTGGCGTAACCAGGATTTTCGAGTATCCTGGATCTCCATCAGAGAGCATGGGTCTCATATGAAAACTTATGTACATTGATATTGGACTCAAATGATGAATTTCTATCGAAAAAAAAATTTGAATCAGGGTTTGCAAAAAAAAATTAGCATTTTCCTGAGCCCTACCAGAAAATATTTCATATCTTTAATGATATGTCGTTTTCAAGAATGCCATCGAAAGCTACATCAAATTTCATCAATAGATTTCAAATTTCATTTAAAAAAGTTGATCCGTTCAGAAGTTATGGCGTTTTTAAGATTCGAGACGTTTCCAAAAAAAGAATTTCGCCAGGAATTGAAAACCGCACAACTTTTGAATAGATGAATTTTTTTAAATGAAATTTGAAATCTATTGATGAAATTTGATGTAGCTTTCGATGGCGTTCCTGAAAACGACATATCATTAAAGATGTGAAACATTTTCTGGCAGGGCTCAGGAAAATGCTAATTTTTTTGCAAACTCTGATTCAAAATTTTTTCCGATAGAAACCCATCATTGGAATCCAATATCAATGTACATAAGTTTTCATTTGGGGCCCATGCTCTCTAACAGAGATCCAGAATACTGGAAAATCCTGATTACGCCACTAGCGAAATGTACAAGCAAAGAAGTATGTTTTCCTTGTTTTTTATATATGGTGAGAGAGCGTGATGACCTGATCACAAATGTATGTGTTTTTAATTTTTTGAAATAAGTTATTAGGAGGAATAACTTCACTGTTTCCCAATGACCTAGTTTTTCTAAAAAATAAGTAAATTTTCAACAATAGACAACTTGTCAAAATTTAGTTACTTGTTTGGAATTTCAAAACTGTTTATTCAAGATTTAATGTGAACGATTGAATGTGTGAAAGTCATTGATAAATGACTTCCTTTCATTCAATTTTTTACACTGAATATCAAATAAACAGCTTTGAGATTTGAAGGAAGCAAAACGAATTTGACAAGTTGTCAATTGTTGAAGATAGACCCTTCTTTTATAAAAACTAGGTCATTAGAAAAGCATAAAGTTTTCTCTCCCTAGGAACTATTTCTAAAAAATTGAACAGACGTATGTTTCTCATTACGTCTTCATACTCTGTCTCGCCATATGTAAATAAAAGAGAAAAAAGATGATTCTTTAATTAAGTATTTTCGACATCTTATAAATACTAATATAAAACAAAATTTTTAATTTTAACACCTACCATGAGCAAATACTTTTTCACCATGTTCACTTTTTCGTTCATCATCTGATAGAAGTAAATAATCATGAAATTCTTTAAAACCAATCGCTTGAAATATTCCACGAGTATAATTATATGATTCTTCTGATTGTGTACATGTTCGATTATATTCATCATGAAATTTTTCTAATTCATCAATAAGACCACGATCAAGCATAGATTTTATTCTATCATTTATACGTCTTTCTAATTCTAAGAACAAGGAAAAGAAATATTTGTTTTTATTTGTTTTGCATATGTAAATATACCTTCTTTTCGACATGTTAACCATAATAGACAGCAACGTTGAAAACGAAATGATCCTCGATAAGAGAAACCACTTTGAGTATGTTGTTTTTTTAATGCTTGACTTAGTGGAATACCACCAGAATCACGATAAAATTCAATAGCTCTAAATGTTATGCAAATACACAGATAGAAGTTGCAAAACGCTTTTGCTTGAGATTATTTATTCAGATAGAGTCATCATATATTTACATTGGCGTCAATATAATTATATGCATACCTTTGCACATCGTTTTTGTATTCTTTTCATTTATAAAACGTGCCTACGCCATTTTCATAGATATATTTTTATGATTAATTGATATGTCTTATTTTTTGCTTGTTTTTGCTTTTGTTTTACTAAAGGTACTTTCTATTGCAACTGAGAGAATATCCAAATTTCTGCTGTCAAAAAAAAAATTATCGAAGATAGAAACAAACCTTCGTATTTTACGTTCTTCATTTGGATGTCTTCGAATACTTGTTGGTTTATCGATTTTCGATAATAATTCATGTAATTGGACTGAAGTTAATTTTGCCAAATTTTCTTCTGACAAGTCGTTTAATAATGATGTAACTTGTTTGTCACGTAAATGTTCGGATGATGACTCAGGTGGATTAAGATGAAAAAGTAAAGATTCAATATAATAATTTGTACCACCGACAATAAATGGAAGATGAGATCGAGATATTACAGATTCAATCTGAGAAACAACAAATGAGAGAATATTTTTCTGTTTTTTGGAATTGATTTGGAAAATGAATTAAACGTTAAAATGACACGCATGACTGACTTTCCATTATTTAATGTGTTCTTCTATACTCAAAATACGACTCGATTCTTTTTCATTTTTATTTTCTGATAATTAACTCACAATTGGTAAAGCATCATTTCGATAATCCACAACAGTATGTGAACGATCAAGTGGATTCACATAACTAAATAAATGATGAGCAATATTATCTTGTTCTGCAATTGTTGGTTTAGCTGTTGTGATATCTAAACCTTCATATATTTGCATTGAATCAGCATTAATTATTTCTCCATTAAAACGTTTAGATAAATAAACTGATAATTTCGTTTTTCCAACAGCTGTTGCACCTAGAATAATAATAATCGGAGAAGTTGTATAACGAAAATTCGTTACTGTAGCCATCTACAAAAACAAATACAATTAATATTCGATTTTTCTTATATATTTTTAAGTATATTAATAATAACACTGAAAGAACAAAATACAAAAAAAAACAAAACAATCATATACAAATAGTTGGTAAAACAAAGAAATATATGAATAAATAAATATTATTTATATACATAAGAATAGATTAAAGCCGTTGTTGTTGTTGTTGTGGATACATTTGTTGTTGATTCGGATTTCTCTAAAAGAAAAATATTCAAATAATCAGTATCATGTGACTGTCTTGTCTATTATTTAATGAAAATAAAACGTGAAAAAAGTTTAGTCTGATAAAAAACATAGCATTTTTATAAATTTGTAGATATAGATAGAAAATTAGGAGTTGTAGGTGAAAGAATATCCTTAGAAAAAGAATAGTCATTTCAGTATTTATAGATGTCTAATGATATAAAAGAAATCTGTTGTAGAAAATATGAGAAAAGATGTATTAAAGATATATATATATATATATGTATATTTACTTGATAATCATAATTTGATGGGTCACCACCAGTATAAACACCAGCCATACAGAATTTCTTTTCAGGTGGTTGCCCTTGGATATTTACATTGGATGAATGTTGTTGCATTAGTTTCATCTTAAAAAAAAACAAACAAGAATTTTGATTAAGAAAATTCATGATTATTGTTTTTAGATCTTTAACGTCGTAAAATTTGTTGAAAACGTCAATATTTTAAGATTTAGAAACATATCTTAGGTATTTTTATTTATTTCAGTTAGGTAGTTGGTGTGAACACAAGAATTATCTCGTCAAGTGAAACCAAAGATGATCTAGTCTTTAGAATATGTCTCTATAGAACGATCAGTACGTTCATGCATAGAAAATTCTTGAAAATACGAGTCTCATATAGAGATGCGCAAGTTCACGTGTTTTTTGGTTTCGATCCTAATCATAGTTCCGATAAATCTCGTTTACTACCGGTCCTAGTGACCGATACCTAGAATAAAGTAGATTGCATACATCTTCATTCCTGCACCATTGAAAAGAGAAAGTGCTGTTCCATATGATGATTTTCTATGAAAAATACAGGTCCAGCTGCTATATCGAGTTCTAAAATTTATTTTACTCAATTCTCCGACTAGCAACATATTATGCACTTGTATTTTTGCTTATAAAGTATTACTCATTTGAACTAGACATTCTTTATAATTATTCTTAGCGCTTCTCTCAAAGAAACGAGGCGTGGATAAGATATGATTGTGAACGTAAACATAAGTCTTCTCTTATCCAAACTCACAGTCACATCTATGCTTACACTGAAAACCTCTTCGATATAGTTTATTTTATGCAACATACTTGTTGAGGATGTGTCTGTTGAACAATATTATTATTATGTTGTTGTTGTGGTTGTTGTTTAATATGTACATTTTGTTGCTGTTGCTGTTGTGTTGTTAATTGTTGTTGACTATGATTCAAATGAGATGCTTGTTGTTGTGTAATAAGAACTGATGACGCTTCGGTTTTAACCATTATTGTTGATTCAGTTTTTGATACATGTGCACCAGTAACATCGGATGAGTCATCATCAGTTATGAAATCTCGTTTAGGATAAGGAATCGGAAGAGAATCGAAAACACTTAAAACAAACATAATTGAAATGCAAAACAGAATTTTTAGTTTTTTATTTTTTCGTTTTAATATTTACTCATCAGTAGGTCGAGGATCTTCTTTAAAATAAAGATCATTCATTGCTTCGAAAGCTACAAAAAAAGAAAACAAGTATAAAACATTCTATAAAAATAAAATACATACCAGTTAATCGTTTTGTTGGATCAATAGTAAGTAAACGTGTTAATAATTGAAATGCTCGACTATCCGATCGAACATTGTGTTTATCCATATATTTATTTAAACTACAATTTGCATAACTAGAAGAAGAGTAAAAGAAATTTTTAGTTGTCAATTGATTATTAAAAATAAACTTACTTGCTCTTTTTAAATTCTTTTGATAAACGTGTATATTCTGGCATTTTTTTCATATCTTCCCATTCTTTATCTTAATATGAAATAAAACAAAACAAAACGAAAAAGATTAATTACATAAACTTGATCAATATCACATACCATTTGGAAAACTCATTACAGAAAAAATTCGATCAAGTTGATCATGATGATAAGGTGTACTAGTTTTTATATCTTCTTGTTTACAGTGAAATATGGGTTCATAAGTAAGAAGTTCAGCAAATATACATCTATGAAAAAGAATTGTTTTTTTTTTTTGTTCAATTCATTCTTTTTTATTATTATAAAATACCCGATGGCCCAAATATCAATTGCTTTTGTATAATGTCGAGCACCAAGTAATAATTCTGGTGCACGATACCAAAATGTAACAACAACAGGATCTAAAAATTATTTTAAACTTTAATTTCCATTGTGCTCAAACAATAAATCAATCACAATCAGAAATGTATAGGATCAACTTTTAGCTTCACAAAAGATAAGCTTATCATATTAATTAGAACATAATTTAAGACGGATAACTCAAAAAAATGCTTAGTTATCGACTAAATAAAACTAAAAATGAGTATTAAAACATTCTTTTACATGTGATACGAATAAATTCTAAATTAGATTTCTCTAGAATTGGACTCAAAAGAACTTATGTCAACGAGATTAGAACCAGATAAATTTGACACCGTGATTTACTCCTAAATGTGATCGCATTTGATGATCTCTTATTTGCATCCCTGTTCGATTCATTCATGATTCATCAAGTTAAAAGGAGATAAGCCTTCATTTATCTTCATCATTAGCCATACAATAAATTCATTCTTGAATGATCATAGCTTGAGCAGAATCCATACAGAAATTCGACTTAATCTCAATGATGTGTCAGTAATTATTATTAAGATACACTTGTCACATATGAAAAGTGAAAAACAAGTAATATGTAATTCACATCGCAATATACTTGTAATCAATTATTAAGATTTACTAATCGAAATTCTATGGGAGAACATCCATAAAAACAAAATTTGCTAAGAAACAAAAACAAACAACTTAACTTTTTTTTTCTTCAGATGTATATTGAATATGTCTGTATGTTATAAATTTTCATAATTTTTGTATTTGTCTTGTTGTTCTTTATTATACAGGTTATTCTCTGATATACTAAATATAACTGTTAATTTTTGTAATTGATAATATGAGGGCTCCAATGAGAAATCATCAAACCGGATCAATTTGAAAACTACCTCATATTACATATCCCTAGTTATGATAAGAATCTTTTCATAAATAAAATAATGATACAATATGTTTACCTATATTGATTTTATACTTTTCTGTTTGTTACACTGGATCAATTTTTCATTGTAATTAAAGCCCACCTTCGCGCTCAAAAATCGATATTGATCCAGGAACATTAATATCGCATGAAAATTTCAGAATATATTGAACCTGTAGTGGAGAAGCTATCATCAAATTTACAGCTCAACGTCACATTTTCTAGAATTAATTTTGTTTGAAAGAGAGTATAAAGATTCAAGGCTTGATGGATGCCTTTTCTTTTGAGTTCTCATGGTTTAAGGGGGAGAAAAGCTCTATGTTTCAAAAAACGGCGCTCTAGTTATAAAGCTACTCTTTTATGTAATAGTAACAAAACTTGATTCAAAAAATGGACTCTATCATGCCCTGCATCTAGACATGCGCTTGCAAATAATGAGAAGCTATTGACTACAAAAAAAAGCTCTCGCGGAAACTCTGAGATATGCGATCCAAAAAGCATAAACAGAGAGAAAATGAAAAAGACTTTGTAGTTTTTCTGACAGCAGCATAGTTTGTAAAGGTTTGGATGATAGAAATTATAGAAAAATTTGGCAAAAAAGAAAATGCCAAATAAACATTCTTGCTATTACTGAAAGATTAGAACACGGGCTATTTTTCTCTGCATTTATTTTTGAATTTCGTCCATTCTGACGAAAGCTGACCTTCTTTTTTTATGAAGAAAGGGGGAGACTCAATAGACTAAACTTTTTATTTGTTAGAATAGTTCAAAAGATTTCTTTCTTATTAAATCTAATCAATAAATTGTTTATGAAAACAAAAAAAAACACAATAGAACTAATTAGAATTATATTTAATAATACTTTTATAAATTAAATCTAATAGTGCACCGATTTTTTTTTGAGAATCTAAAAATTTAAATTTCATTTTTAATCAGTAATGTATAACAGAGAAAGAAAACATTCTTGACGATATTTAATAACTATTCTACATTTATGACGTCTCAAGTCAATATTGTTAGTCTTTATGTCTACACATCAATAACTGTCTTGTTCGATATATTTGATTCTTTTTTCTCGTATTTTGTGCAATATACTTGTAATTTTATTAGTAGGATTATAAAATGAAGAGAAAATGTCAAAAATGGCGAAAGTTTTATTCTATACTTGTTACTCTCTCAATACTGATGGGTTGAGCAAAATTGTCTCAAAAGACAAATTATAAGAATAAATAAATACTTTTTGTATTTTTTTATATGTCTTCAAATATTTATAGATATCATAAATTCTTCGTTTACCTAAGTCTGCCATTGGTTTCAATGGTGAATTAAATAAACGTGCGAAACCCATATCTGCAATTTTAACTCTACCACGTTCAATACCATCACCCATAACTAATATATTAGCTGGTTTAAGATCTCGATGAAGTACCCAATTTGAATGTAAATAATGTATACCAGCAAGTATTTGATTAAGTAATGATTTAACCATTCCACGTGCACATACAACAGGTTTTTTATTTTGTTTTGCTGAACGATGAAATTTAATAATATGCTTTTAATATGAAAATAAAAAACTTGTTTTTTTCTAATTTTTTTTTTCCATTCTTATTTTACCCATAAATCATGTTCAGCAAAATCAAATAAAAGATAAACACGACGATCGGCATGCGAAAGAAAAACACGTTGTAATGTAATAACATTAACATGTTTTAATTCACGTAATAGCTTCAAAAAAAAAGTTTCTTTTTTCAAAAGTAAAAATAACAAAAAGAAAAACAAAACGTACGGAAATTTCTCGACAAGCACTCGTTGATAGACCAGCCCCTACATACAAGAAAAAAAATATTTTCTTTTCATTCGTTATTTACAATCATGTAGTTTTTTATAATTACCCTCAATTTGTTTCAATGCATAGTCTCGTGTGTCACTTCTAAATCAAAGAGACAAGCAATAAAAAAAAAATGGCTAAAGACAAGAAAAAAAATAAAATCAATGTCACAAAAATTTATCTCGACGAGCATTAAAAAGCAAAAGAACGACATGAGCAAGTAAAACCCACATATGTATATATTAATTTCAAGGTTATGTACACATATATACATTTACCCATCTTTTTTCTTTGCTTTATACACATGTCCATAAGTTCCTCGACCAACTTTACAACCAAAAAAATCAAACGCATCTTCAACTTTAGTTCTTTCTTGATCTAATTGAGCCTTAAAATCGGCATCCATATTTTGATTTTTAATGAATAGAATTGCTTTTATATATTCAACCCATTTCAGTTGCCGACATGGCTCAAAAATACGAAAATTAATCTAAAAGAGAAAATCAATTCATAGCGTATAGTAAATAAAATTATTCTTCTTTAAATTATTTCGACCTAAACAAATTAATACGTTATATTTCAAAATGTAAATGAAATGAATTTAAACATTTCGTTTGTTTTATTCATAAATAAATAAATATATATCATTTTCTTAATTTTTATTCTTTTGTAGAAATGATGCAATCAGAGAAAATAACTTTATTCCGTCAGATATATTTCATCTACTTAACTCGATGTCAAATTTCGAAATACGGAAGTGAAAACTACATTTAAATACTCACTGAAGCAGTTTATCCCATAGTTTGTTCTTTTTTTCACTCAAAATGAAAATAATTGTCAAATTTCATTGTGATTCATCAAAGAGCAGAGGTATCTCAAGTTCAATGACTCAGGAGGCGAATGAGAAGATTTCCACTTAAATGAATCAGACTTTAAGGGAAGGCAGGGATGAATGCGCTTGTGAGACTTAGTGCGCAAAAAAAACACTGAAGAAAAACTAAATTCCTTCAAGTCTAAGAGAACGACTTGTTTTTCCTCACTCGTGAACATTCATGTTAAGAAAACTGTAGCATGTAGAAGTAACACATACAGAATATCTGTTATTACGAATATATATGTTGCTTCACACTTTACTCAAAAACCAGAATGTATACAGTACAATTTACTGAATGAAACAATATCCCATTTTTACAATGGTAAGATGAATATTTAACTACGAAACTAGTAAATGTAATATATTCTATGATTATAAAATATTTTAATTGTTTTCTTCCTACTTTTGCAATACTACCAGAGAAAAAAACAAAAAATATTGTTTTCATATATTATCTTGTTTTTTTATGATCGACAGGTAATGTTTGTCAAAAAAGAAAACATGAAATTTTTCTTTCTGACTTTTTTTTTTATAATACCTAATTTAACAGAACTTCACTGTTGTATATTTTACTAGCATTAATTAAGCATATGACTAGACTTTGTTTTGAATTTCTATTAGAAACGCTGTAATAAATACCTGTCTTGAATATGTCACGAAATTACGTAGCATTATATACGTGTATACTAAATAAAACTTCAAATATGAAATAAAAAAAAAAAAACGTTTTTGATAAGAAATACTCGTTGAAATACAACGAATATATTTATCGCATAGGTAAGATTGCTAGTAGTACAGTGAATATGATTTAATACTGAATTAAAAGTGAATCAATATGACTAATTGATATCATGAATTCTTTTTCGATTGTCGTATTCATAAGAAATTTTTTTCCTTCCAGAAAAATAGGAAATATGTAGAACGAACAGAAAAGATTTACTTGACACATTCGATGCGAAAAAATAAAATAAAAATTTTCATTGGTTGTAAAAAAAATAACCAATCACTATTTAGCGTTATCAGTTAAACAATTTTTAAATATTAATTGATAGTATTTCTGAAAGGCTTTCAAAGAATTTATGTCGAATTATTTTATTAACGTTAGAACCAAGTCTTAATTTAAAGGTTTTCACTAAGAAATTCTATTCAAGCGACAAGAGAAATGGCTACTTGATACAATATATGGATTTATCTGTTTGAAACTCATAATAACTATCAACATAATGGTTTAACGAAATTCACATCGATGGGCGAAACAAATGAATTTTATCTATCAATAGCATATAATATATTTTAATTGTATCAAAAGAGATTCATTCTGTAATGGTTATCTGACACTCGCTTTCAGATTAGTTCCTTTGATTTGATGTGCAAATATATAGAGTGAGGTTTATACAAAAATTTTTAAGAAAAGGAATCTTGGAATCTAACGAAGATAAAAGAAAATTCTTCATATTAAATTAGATTGTACCTTTATATTGGTTGAAATATTTCACTATGTAAAGTTCAAATTAAGGGTATTTCCTTCCTCTTTGGTCATTTATGGTTCTCGAAGAGAGTGCAATCGATCTGCATGAAATTTTTATTAGAGATAAAGTACCTAAAATAAGAAAACATATGTTTGAGAAACAAAACTCAAAACAAGATTTTTGTGATTATTTTTTAGACATATCTTGATTTTTTATAGGACCATATGGGACTTGCCTTACGACCCTCTCTAACTTTGTCCGATCGAACTAAAAAGTTGTTTTGAGGTGCCTTAGACTATATCTCAGAAATCATTAAAACTCTTTCAAAAAAATTATTTTCTTTTTTTATTATCACAGACATACGCATAGATTCAAATAAAAAACCATAGTGCTGACATTTATGTTTGTATAAATGTTGATATGAAAGTCAAAAACGAAGATATCTACAATAGATCATTCTTTCATTTGACGAAATATTTTTGGATATATATATTTTGGATAGAGGAAATTTGCTCGTTGTTAATGGACAAGAATAACAAGGTAAATACCATGGTATTAGTACTGTTTATGTTTCGGATGTGAATAAATTAAATAATATACTCAGGGTATACTAAAAGCAGTGGCAGTAGTACTATAGTATATTATAGATAGACTCGAGAAAGTTTTCTACATGTATATAAATTGTAACAGTTCAAACAATAGTCTATAATTCTATAATATGTCACCATCTTTCATTTGCTATGATAATCTTAGAGTTTCGATCATTGCTGTCCCACTCTGATGATGCTGCATAAGAAAAAATTTCGCTTCTGCATTTAAGTCCTACTGCACTAAATTTTATTTTTGACGATCAAGCTCTTACATCTCAGAGGATTGAGAACAAGGGGGAAAAATCTCATTCGGGCATTCCGAGCCATTCCCAGTCATTCCAATCCATTCTGATCCATTCCTAGCCAGTCCGATCCATTCCAATCCATTCCGAGCGAAACACATATATCCAGCATTTGTCTGCTACCGAGTCAAAGGTCAAGGGTCAAAGGTAGGGGTGGACCATTTAATTTAACGGGACTTAATTAATGACATTAATTAATGTTTTTCATTAATCATTAATATTAATGGTTAATGTTTTCATTTAAAAACTTAATTCATTAATATTAATGATTGATACGAAGCAAATATTGTTTTTATTTTGATTTTTTCATGGAAGAAAAGTTAATTTAAAAAATACTGAGGGTAATCTCGATAATTTTTCAGAGCCTCTCTAATGGAAACCATCATAACTATTCAAGACAGACTTCATGAGTCAATCAAGAAAATAAATTTTAAGAAAAAAATTAACATACGTCATTTTTTTTCATTAATTGGTATCTCACGAAAAAATATCTTCAGATTTCTATGGCCTAAAGAAAGATACCAAATACTGGACCTGGCGTCCCAGAAAGGAAACTCGATCTAATTTTATTATCCGAAGAATCAACAGTCATCCGTGATTATTTTTTACAAGTTTATTATATATTTTCTCATGATTCATTTTTAATGTCTGGGGTCTCCTCAGGCATCAAAAACTATTATTTTTGTCACCGTTCAATTAGAAGTTCCTATAACTTGGCAGGACTCAGTGGTTTGATTACAAATCTAACAGTTTTTTCTTAAATTAGTTGGATAATAAAAAACGTCTATAACACTTTTTAAAAGCGCTAAAAAACGTTTTTCATCCAGACGTCCATCAAAAATCAATTTAGATTGACAAAAATAGACTTACTCGACGAAAATTCTTTTCTCTATCAAAATTTATAAGTAGTTTGGAGACATTCAAAACTTTTTCTACACAATAAATGCCAAATATCGCCCGGATTGGGTCATATTGTCAAAGCTACTGTTTGTTTAGTCTTTTGAAGTTATAGTTTATACAAGTGCATCAGTAAGATTTTTCTATTAAATATGCAATTCTATGTGTTCTTTCTAATAAAACTGTTTTAAACTTGAAAATCGATGTCTAGTAAAGCACTTTTGCTCAAATATTACTCATTAAACTCAATTTCTATCATTTTTGTTTTCTATTCGACGCTTTTCGAAAAGAACAATCCTGGTTTGACTTCAAATAAATATTGTTTTTAGAATCAGCATAATGCTCTATGTGCACCTATGTGTATTTGAAATTGTTTCTGCGATCTTTTTTCGATCAAATGTTTGCCCCTAATTCTCCTGCAAGATAAATGGAAAAATAAATATGATGAAAACAACTATCGGATTGATACATAAGTTCTGTAGGTTGTTTTGTGTTTTCGGCAAATTTAACGCCTTGCACGTGGTGATTGAAAAGGGATAGAACTCTGAAAATTTTAGTATAATTCGAAGTCAAAGACACCTAACTACACTAAAAGTTTCAGACTTCTATCACTTTTCAATCATAAGATGGAAGGCCTTAAATTTGTCTAAAACACAAAAAAATGTGCAGAATTTATGTATCAATGGGATATTTTATGGGTTATTTATTGATCTTTTGCCTTCAAGCAGGTATTTCACAAGTTTAGGACATTGTTTTAATTGTAGAAATGACTTTTTTCAATAAATCAATGTTTTACATATTCAGTCGCCATGCGAAGTTTCGAAGATTGGGAGAGGTGTATGACGAATTATGGTATATAAATGGAGATTTTCAAGAAAATGTTGCAACAAAATGCGTAAAATATAGTGGAAATGTGCACTTATTGTTGGAGAAGAACTAAAAGCTTCTGTTTATTGAAGGAGACTCGCCTAGATGCTCGCTTACAAGGAACCTGCAGATATCTTTTAGGGAATAAAGAGCAAAAATTTAATCTAAAAAAAGGTCATAAAAACAACTTCATATGCGCACAATCTGCGTGTAAAAAGTCTTTACACTAGGAGTGGACCATTTTATTTAATGGGACTTTAGTACTGACATTAATTAATAACTTCACTTAACCATTAATATTAAGTCATTACTATTAATGAAAACATTAACATTAACATTAATGATCAATCAAAAAAGATTAACATTAATATTAATGTTAACGTTTTCATTAATCATTAATATAAATG